AAGCCGTTGTTCTAGTCTTCACAGAACACAGAACAGTATGCAGTTACAAGTTCGAATCTATTAAACTTGAATTAATAAGAAGAGGGAGGGAGAAGAGCAATGGACAATTGTTAAATCAAAATGTCAATTACAATAATTCAGGTTAAAACAACTTCCCTTTTCACTGCCAACCTCTTTCCCCTTAAAAAAATGTTTCTAGTAAATCAATTTAAAATACTAACTCTTTATGACACCGCCAAAAGTATCTTCCCAATCCTTTAACTGCCATGTCATGAAAATGTTTGACAAATTAAACAGAGATCTAATTTAACAATTGAGATCTGTCTTACAAATTTGCACATCTAATGATACAGTTCACCCAGCCAATGTTCCATTCATGTGTTTTGCTGTTAAATAAATTAGGGAATGCAAATCAAGAATCCTCAGTATGTAACAAGTACTCCCAGAAGCAAAGCCTTCCACCATCTTCAACCACAATGCCCACAAACAATAGCTCCAGAGTCACCAAAGAAAGATTAGTCTTTCTTATTTATCGAACATGCATTCCCAGATAGCTATAGTGTCTTTTTACAACCCAAATTGAATACTGGTACACCGGTTAAAACGACTAACACATTTTATAGCTATCTCCAACTCAAACCTCTAATGTTACTTTTCAAGTAAAACTTAGATGGGCAATCCACACAAACTAAAAACAATCCATACATTTCAGATCCTTAAAGAAAAACTCTAGAGAAATTAAAATACTAATAATAACAACACATTTGAATCAGAACACACTGCCACTTTCCTCTTTATTTACTAGCTAATTATTGCCTTTAAGGAACTCATTACCCTCCTATTTTTTATTATCCCTAAAACTTCAAGGAGCAAAACATGTTCATGCTTCCAATTGGTTGTTCAAAGATGTCAGGGGAGCAAAATAAATATTAAACCTACTGAGAGATCTACCTATAATACGGGAGTGGTAAATGAAGGAAGAGAAACTATTAATTACTAAAAAAATAGTACAAAGTCTAGTTTCTCTGCACAAGATGCTTATGATCGTAGAAATAAATAGAATTTCTCTTTGTTCATGCAAGTAGTTAATACAAGCAGTGCGAATGCATGAAGGTTCTAAAATACCTATTCTGAACCTCGTTTAATCTCTGAGACATAAGCTCCTCCTTCTCCGTAGCCTTCTCAGCCTGATAAAAACCATGAGAGATTTTGTCAACTAACAACCAATGAAGAAAGGTAAATTCTTACCCAAATTCATGTCATTATTGTACAGTTCATATTTCCTTACAACAACCTTTAGAATTAATGTTGTATTCAAATGAATCATGCACGCCAAGTTTTAAGTTCATGGAACATGTTTATCTATGTTGTACAGCATGTAAATTTAAAATAATTAATTATACATTTTGAAAGTCTAAAATCAATTTTTATAGAAATCACATTGACTTGAAACTTGAGGTGCATGAACAGAATCTTAAAACTTCAGAAATACCCCTTTGTTCCAATGTATCACAAATTCACAATGTTAAATCTTATAGTGTAGAAGACAAGCTCTACAAGGAAGTAAAAAGAGTGGTATAAGAACAGGCATAAATTAAACCAACCAATGCAAATGATCCTTTGTTCATGTGTAATTAAGTCCATCACTTAGAGAATTAGCTTAAATTAATGTTTGCCATAACCTCCATTATCGACTGGTCCCGTTCAGCAAAAGCAGCTGCCACACATCCATGGAAAAACTTGACCTGCTTCTCCAATTCAATATTCTGGAGAATAAAAAAAAATACAACTCAGACCACAAAAGATATCCAATTCAATTCATGCGTATCTACATTTCTTAATGAACAAATAAGACCTACAAGAAGACAACATATGTCAAAATATTATTCTATATTTGAAAACTTGCTAACCCTTCATTATTACTTTCAATTAACGCAACATAACTAATTTTTGCACAGCCAGTTGAGAAGCCACACAAGAAGCATACAATTAAAAATGACTTCCAAGCATTTGCCAAGAATAGGAGAGTAGATAAAGCAACATTCTTAGAAGAACTAGGGTGTATAATCCAAATCACTTGAGGTATGCAAAATGAATCATTTCCACCCACTTAGCCATTTATAACACCAAACTAATATTTCTATATGTACATTTTATTTTAGAAGTTTAAGAGAATTTATTAGACAAGGCTCAGCATCCATTCAGAAAATTCCATGAGAGAGAGAGAGAGAGAGGGACAGACAGACAGACCTACCTTTGCAGCCTCTGTACCATGCAGTTCTGCCAGTTGACCCTAAGGAAAACAAAGCAATAATTTAAGGTCTGAAAAGGGATTACAAAAGTCAACTTCAATGAATGAGAAGTAAAATTTCGTACTTTAATTCGATAAGCCTCTGAAAGCTCTTCCTGAAGATTTTGGTTGTCCCTTGTACAAGCAGCTAACTGTTTTTTCAAGTTCTCAATCTCCTGCTCCAAGCCAGCTGTCCTAGTAGGGCATTAATTTTTCAATGCAAGAACTCATACTACCTAAGACCCCAGAGGGAGAAAACACAAATAGACAAAGCCTGATTTTAGAGGGGAAAATTTTATACCTTTGAAAATGCATTCGAGTGGCCACAACAAGGTAGCTTGGTCCTGCTTGCTGAATACACAACTGTTCAATGTCCTTGCGCAGTTCATCACGCTCTACACAAAATAACTCAATACATATTTTCCATCAAAATGCATGCAAACATATCTTAACATATGCACATATGTATTAGAGTAAAAAACTGTGAGGGAAAACAGAGAAAGTGAGCACAACCAGAAGCAGAGCTTAAAACAAAGATGACTGACTATAAGCAACACAAAACGTATAATATTATTGTAAAATTCACATTCGAAAAATATAGCTCCAATAACCTCCCAACCCAATCAAAATTCAAACTTTATTATAACCCATTTAAACATTTTGACAAAAGTTTGGGACTTTATAAGTTTGTTTTTGCATAAAACAATTTTCCAGCTAAATCTCGTCATTTCTCATATTAAAATCTTTTTAAAAAAAAAAAAAGTAAACCAATTTATACAAATCAAGGAGAGAAACAGAACCCATATTTTCAAATAAAACTAACAATGAAATTGAATCGAAATATTACCAAAAAAAAAAAAGCAAAGAAGGGGGTACCGTGTTCTAACTGTTGGATCCGAGCGAGCAACGACTGTGTGTTATTTGGGTTGTCGTCCATTTCAAGAAATCGGGAGACAGAATTGGGTGAGGAGAAAAGGTATTGAAGAAGTGAAAAGAGAGTGAATTATTTTTATACATAGAGGGAGGTAGCCATCGATCGTCAAGCGACCTTCAACTCTCTCACCCTTTCTTTCTTTCTTCCTTTCTTCTCCTTTACTAGTAACGACCTTCAATCCTGCTCTAGCTTCAAGAGGTGTCTAAAAATCGATTAGTTATTTGTCTTTTTCTTTTATTCTTAAAAAATAAATAAATAAATAAATTTAGGGGCTTTTTTTTTTATGGTTTTTCTATATTGAACCATTGAGTATAAAATAATAATGTAATAAATATATTTTTTATAATTAATTTTGTTTGGATTTAATTAATTAATTAATTAAAATTATTTATATATGAATAATATTAAAATATATGTCAATTTTTATAATTTTTAATATAAATTAATTATAAAAAAATATATTTATTATATTTTTAAAACATGCTAACAAACTTTTTTTATTAACCTCCACTATCCAAAAAATTATATTAGATTTTAGTCAATTTCAAATTAAATCATATTAAATTTATTAGTCTTTTTACTTGACGCAATAAATCATTTATAGTTTTAGGGCCTTTTGTCTTGGAAAAAACTTTACTTGATAAAAAGTTGGTAATTTGTTGAGGTAATTTTACTTAAATACTATAAATTACTCCCTCCAGCCAAACTTTTACGTAATATAAAATTTTTATATTATAAATAAATATCCATGGACAAATTTTTTTATCTAACAATGTTTGATTCACAACTTTTTTAAAAATAAAAAACTTGAAAAAGTTTAACTATTAAGTTAAGATTATGGGTTTAAGTATTAAAATATGTGCTAAAAAAATAATTGAAATAATGAATTATAATGCTTATAATAGTTTAAAATGGCATGATAATAGCAGCTAGCCCTTGCGGCCTAGTGGCAATAGTCATCCCGATGCATTCCTTCCTTCCCGGGTTGGGTTCGAATCCCATCCCTTACAAATATGTTCAAAAAAAAAAAAATGGCATGATAATATTTATTGCCCAAAAATATAGGAATAAAAACTTCTTTGTATTATAAACAATTGTATTACATCTAATCAATTACGTTTCAATATTAATACTTTGAATTAAAATATGTTTGATTACTTTTTATTTTATTTTTGTCTCAAGATTGTTACTTTTCTAAGTCAAGCCATATTTTTCTACCAAATAAGAATCAAGCTATATTAATAAGAGTAATCACATGGGGGACGATTTTGGGGATGAAAACGGAGGACGACAAGTGAAGCAAAATCAAATTGCAGGATACAAAATTATCAATTTAATCTTACTTCACTTGTCGTCCTCCGTTTTCGTCCTCCAAAATCGTTCGCCCTATCATTACCCTGTTAATAAAGGCTCACAGCTTCTCTATAAAAAATAATTTTTAAAAAAATTTACCAAATATGCTCTAGATGAAAATATTCAATAAGAATTATGTGTAAAAAAATTTTTAATTGTCATTTATTTATTACTCCCTCTATTCATTTTAGTAGTTTTAATTTAATTTTTTTATTTTTTATACATAAATTTCATATAAAAATTTAATATATTATATAAATAATAATTGAAATTTCTTTTTAATCAAATAAAAATTCTCAACAAGAATTTTATATAGGAAGAAAAAAATTTTAATTATTATTCATATAAATTATTAAATTATTATCTAAAATGTATGTATAAAAAGTTAAAAATTAAATTAAAACTATTAAAAATAAATGAATAGAAGGAGTATATAAAATTATCTGGTCAAATTTTACATAAAAGTCAAATTAAATTAATTAAATTTGACTGAAAGAAGTAACTTTTTAATATTTGCTAAAAAAAAAGTGTTACCTTCTAACATTGCGAAAAGAAACATTTGTAGCTTTGGAGTTGTAATGAAGAGCAAAATTGGAGTGAAAATGTTGATAATATTAAGGTGAATAAATATTACCTTTTATTGTTCTTCGTTTTTATTTAAATCCATGTCAAAATAATTAAGGGCCTTCTCAACATACAGCTTTTTAGTGAAATTGTTGTAGCACCAATTTCTAGTGACTAAATATCCAATAGCAGCTTCGAGATAATAGTCCTTTGACAACCACCATGCCAAAATGGTTAAGCCAAGAATAAATGGTTAAGACCATTCTTGGCTTAACCATTTTGGCATGTAATTTTTGAGAGAAAATGTTGCAAGAGAAAAGGAAAAATTAAAACGTGAAAATGTATAAATAAAAGTGTTAATTTTTGGTATTTTTTAATTTAAAGATGTTAATTTTATTAATTTTTAAATAAATGTATTAACTTTAAACTTTTTATACTTAAAAATATTAATTTTTAATTTTTTCTATTTAAAAATATTAACTTTTAATTTTTTTCTATTTAAAAATTAATTAGATGGTAATACTAATATGGTAAATGAATTTTTTAATTAAAAATTAAAAAGTTCACATATTTAAATAAAAAAATTAAAAGTTAACATTATTATTTAAAAACTAATAAAATTAATAACCTTAAATAAAAAAATACAAAATTAACATATTTATTTATACATTTTCTCAAATTTGGACCCTAGAAGATTAAGTTCCAGCCATAGAACAGCTTAGAATAGTTGATCATGTTGTCTATAATAGTTAGTTATTTTCATCCAAAGACTACACTCTTAATCAATTATATTAAAATCTTTTTTGGCTTATAATTCGTGAATAAAAAAATTTAAGTTCTTTTTAATTGTGGTTGTAAGAAGATGGGCGCTCTTCACTAATCCTACAGGCCTTTTTTCTAGTTATATATTATGCTTGAAAATTGAGTATGTTAATGACCCATTATAAAAATTCTTGAGAATATTGACCGAGGAAAACAAATATCCCCAGGGTCCAAATAAATGATTTAGCCCAAAGAAAAACCAATAATAATGATATTCACATTTGAGTCTTCAAATCCAGTAACGTCAAGTCACATATAAGTGCATTCCCCATCCTAGTGCAACGGTTCAAATCCAACTCTTGCGAATTTGTTCAAATAATAATAATAATAATAATATTTACATTTGAGCCTTCGGATCCAGTGACGTTAAGTCATGTATATGTACATTCCCCACCCCAAGTCACATATAAGTGCATTCCCTATCCCAGTGCAACGGTTCAAATCCAGCTCTTTGTGAATTTGTTCAAAAAATAATAATAATAATAATAATATTCAACCTTCCAACAAAAATGCATTGCACATGACATAACATTATCTTCCTAGGCAAAACCTCCCTCGGTTTTACTAATACTATTTACGGTACCAACAATCATTTCCTCCCTCCCTGTCAAAGCAGAAACTCAGAAACATAAATTCCATCATATCAAGACATCCTCTTCCTACTAAGCAATGGTTTAAAAAATATCATGGAATAGAAAAGAAACATGGGAAATCAAATAATATGCAATTTACGTTGGTACTCTCGATCAAATAAGTTCTAACAGAAATCTATTGACTTCTATCAAAGAAAAGAGTGATTTAACAAGCTACATGATAGAGATATTGGTCAGAACCAAACTGTTTTCTATCGCTTTATACAACTGTAGTTTTCCTGCATTCCCTGGAGGCTCTAACAATGAATAAATAGCAACTACAATCCAGAAAATTCCCCAAGAAAAACAATAGGGATGAAGTCCTACATTGAAATTACAACCAAGAAAAGATGTTTCAGAACACCTACATTCCAGCAGGATCTGTGTGTAAAGAAAATTTTGTGCAAGAGTCAGCAAAGGCCTCAACCACATCTACTGGTGAGATTATGCAACTGTGTCCTACAAAACGATCCCTAGGTCCATCACTCAGGCTTATTTTGTCAGTTTCCATCAAGCTCGAGGCCCCTGCATGTTTTCACAAATGGTATACAAGTGAGTGCAGTAACCAACAGTGTAGTAATGAGCAACATCATAAGTGCAAAACAATGGCTAATTTCCACTAAGATGCCAGACTTATCACACTAGAATACACATTTTCTGTGCTCTGGAGAAGTGCTAATATGGAGGATATATATCTATAAATCCAACTGCATCTTCTATGCATGCTATATATAAGATTTTCAGGCATAGAATCTTATTTTGGAGTCAAAGCCCCTCACTAGGTAAAATCAACTTAAACATGGCACACGAATTATTACTTGTATTCTCTCTTCAGCTTTCATGACTTTTAGTGCAATTTGTGGTTTAGAAAGCAACCAGTGGATACATGGACAGACCCAGGGTGGGGCAGTGAGGCCACTGCACAAATAAATAGTATTAAAATTTGTCATTAAATTTAAGTAAAATTTCAACTTTTGCCCCCAATAAACAAAACTCCTAAATCCACACCTGACTGAATATAATATTCCATAAATGTAAATCATAAATGCTACATTTGAAGTTCATTAAATGTCAACAAGTATCCCATCTGTGAAGCATTCTAAGTTAAACATATTTGCGCAGGTTAATTATGAAAAATATATGACTTGGATGGCATAGTCAATCAACTTAGAATTTGGCCTTTATTATCTACATATACAACAATTAAACTGAATTGTTGTTTAACAATGGATTGCTCAAATAATTGTATGAAGAGGCATTGAAATTAACAACTGTTGCACCAAATTCAAGTTGATATAATTAAAGCTAACCATTAACTGTGACAAAGAAAAAAATGATAATAAAACAAAGCGAATAGATTTTACCATCTTGCCAGGCTTTCTTTCTTGTAGTGTCTTCATTGCTGCTTCTGCATGGGCTTGTGCTGCTTCTGCCTGGGCTTCTGCTTCATCCGCCTCTCTTGCAGCTTGCTCAGCTGCTGCTATTGCAGCTTCAGCCTCTGCAACAGCTTGAGCAGCAGCAGCAGCAGCCTCCTGTGGAGTCATAGTCCGCATCTTGGCTAATTCTAACTCTATCTCCTCCATTGTAGGAATAACAATATCATCAATCTCAACTCTAGAAGAGACTGGTATATCAGAGTGTAACATGGTAGGGTTTGTCCTCCTCTCTGGATATGGCAGAATAGGTGCAATTCTATACTTGCGTTTAACCTGCAAGTCAAAAAGCATGAAATTCAATAGAACAACATAGCAAATAAATTAAGACATCCAGCCACACATCCAACATAGTGGAAACTATATTTTACCCAGGATGCCTGGTCAAAATTCACATGGCTCTACACACACAAACCTTATGAATAGTTCAAATAATTGTCAAATGACAGAAAATCAAAACAATTTTGCACCCTTTACAGCAGGTATTAATAAAACAATCTTAAATGAAATATCATGATCATCAAAACATTTAATCAACACATGTTACAATGTCTAGATCTAGAATGTTTAGAACAAAAGGAAATTACAACTTAAAATTAAAATATGCAAAGAATCCTATCAAATACATATACAGGCATTTAAAGAGAAGCTGAAATTTTGGAAATTTTGTGAAGCCGAGGTGTGCAAGTCATCATTGAGAAATTTGCACTGTAGAGGCACAGTGTTACACTATATACATGAAGCTCGTTTATTCAATAAATATATTTATGCTCCTTGCAGAAAAACCATCAATTCAATATTCCGCAATGCAGTACATTAATATATTTAATTTCAAAGAGAGAATTCAGTTTGAAACCAGTGAAACGGGTGTAATACTAGACTGCATGAAACAGAACTGATATATGAAAGCTTAACTTAAATTCTCACTTGAACTGAAACATGCCTATGACAGAGACATCTAAATTGGCACAGGCAGACATTAAACTCATGGGTCCTTCAATTATATAAGGGAAAATGTATGAATGTAGATGACTTATTAAATGGAAAAAGAGAAGGAAGTTGGACTAAGAAGTGGTAATTAATCAGAATCAGGGCAAAAAATAAGAATGAATTAATTGCTCATCAATATTGATATCCCTAAAGAGTCATGAAAGAACAAAGCTGAATTTCTTACCTTGGGCCCCTAAGCCAAAGACTGAAGATACCTAGGAGAACTGAGCAAACTAAGAGAGAAAAGAAACACAAGACAGAGAACCCCAGAAAAGCAATGTAGGGTTTTCCAAATAAGGAACCCCAATACTAAGATCATGTTTGGATACGATTCTATTTTTATTGGAGAAATTTCAATTTAGCTATATGTTATTTGGGATAAGTGCAGATAAAGACCTACGATTTTAAAATGTGTGCATAACATACCTGTAGTTTTGGCTAGGTGTAAATAAAGATCTGAGATTTCAAAATGCTCACATAAACACATGAGGTTTGCAATAGGTGAAAATAACCACTCAAAATTTCTTGAAATGTCTTTGAAATGTCTTAAAGGCCCCTAACCTAAAAGAATGAAAAGAAAAAAAAGGGGGTATTTAGGACAATTCATATAACGTCAAGTGGTTATCTACACCTAATACAAACTTCTAGTACTTATTTGCACATTTTGAAATTTCAAGTGTTTATGTGCACCCATCTCAAAACACATGTTATATGCACATTTTAAAACCTCACGTGTTTATGTGCACTAACTATAAACCACAAGTAACTAAAATATAATTTCCCCTTTTTTATAGCTTAGCTTCTAGCTTATTTTCTAAATAAACATGTAGCAAAAATATATTTTTCCTTCATTGCCAAACATGTATCCAAAGCAAAAATAGCTTATAAGCATTTACCAAAAATGAGCATACAATCAAAACTAAATTTCATCTCGCTCACCAGCCCACAAAACCCAGCCCATATTGACCTATTACCCAATGTCGAATTAACAAAACCCTTACATCTGTTAAAAAGTTAAAGTTTAGCCAACATCACAATCATTTAATGAAAATTAAACTCTGCATCACCTTTGTGTTGATTAGAGGTATATAAATATAGACTACAGATGTCTGCTTTGGTTAACTAGCAGCAAAATTGGGATCAATTCAGTCTCTTAGCAATCACAGTATTATGCAGACATAACAATTTCAAGTAATACCTTAGACCTATTCCAAAACCCTGAACTGTTCTTGAAGAATTTATAACAGAGAATAAAAGTGAACTCAACAGAACATCATGAAATGACATATGCATATGCATCTCACTCCATAAAAGCCAAATTTAAACAAATAGCGCTAATATGTTCTACCATTGACTAAAATTGTTATCATTAAATAACAGGTTCAAGTCACACCAATGACCCAGCGCCAAACCACATTTATGCAGCGTAAATTACCTTAATCAGTTTGCCACAGGTTGTTAAATACTTCAATTTTGCTGACAAGATCCTCTTAAAGTCTGAAGGTGCCCGATATTTATCCTGCAGAACGGATATAAAGTACAAATGTCAAATTCAGACATTAATTTGTAAAATGGAAAAATCATTTCCATAAATACGACAATGCTTCTATATGGTTATATGCCAACTTTTATTAATTTATAAGCAGCACATACACAACAGGGAAGGCTAACAATTGACAGCAAAAATATGCGTTCCCTTTGTTGTGATTCATGCCATCTAACACGTTTTTGTTGTCAATAAATTTAGGCATGAACTGTCATTACAGGATCATAAGTTTGAGAATCGTATTGTTTAATTCTCAAATTCAAAAACATAATTAACAGAATTCTGATTTCAGGTGAAAAAGATGGCATGAATTTGATGCTTTATAACATTGACTCCTATCCAATTTATGATGTGATGTGAAACTCCATGTCTCAAGACTTCAGACAGCACATACGTTTAGGAATGCTTCCATTCTCTATTTTCTGTTTTCATTTCCAAAGACAACAAAACAGAAAACCGCATTTGGTAACATTGTTTCCATTTTCAATTTCAAAAGGTTTCCAAGAATTTCCAATATTAGTTCAAAGAACCAAATCAAGTTTCAACATTTATGGAAACAAACCGGCCAAAAAAAATTATAGAAACAAACATAAAACACGTATCGCCCTTCTTCACTAAAACCATTACACACTCAAACATCACTTTTCCTAATTTTCCTCCCCTTGAAATTATAAAAGAAGATTACCAAAAATGTTCCTGTTTTTTAAAATAAAAAACAAAAGGAAAAAACAAAATCAGGAGACAGAGAAAAAAAAAGAAAAAGAAAAAAAAGTAGCCAAAGGACACTTGAGTACAATTTCATAGCTCAGACTTCAGTCCCAAACCATAAGCAAACATGATATGACCAAAAAAATACAAGACTTTTTTGCAGGACTAGTTCACACATTTCTTCCTTGCTTTGTTCCAAAAATATAGAGCTGCCCATCAGCATTGTATGTTTGGCTCGGGAAAGCTAAATTTGGATTGTTATATGTTAAGAAACCTTACAAAACAGGCTTGAGCTTGAACTTGAGTTTTAAGTTCATTATGAAAACAAGCCAATCTTGGGCAGAAGTGAGCTTATCTCATTTAAGTTCAATAAGCAGATTTTTTGACATGTTCACAAACAATGCTTGCTAAAGGTCAATTATAAGTTCACTCATATTCCTACATATGAGTTTATTTGATTTACAAGTTTTCATATTCTTTTTTTTTTTTTTGGCTGACAATCATAGTTTCATATTCTATTGGAAACTTGGAAAACGTAGTTTTATATATATATATATATATATATATTCTATTAAAACCTTGGAAAACTGTGTCATGCTATCCCTTGACATAACCTAAATTATCAGTAGGCTTTATGTTA